AACCGCTCCCTGTTGGCAGGCAGGAAGACGAGCCTGGACGGAGGGTCCCCAGCTCCTCCAGCACCGATCCACTTGGACACCCACCCTTCGGCACCCTTGCCCGTCTTCTTGGCAGAACAGAACCAGGCAGGCAGCTGGTCCCATGGAGAAGGCCCACGGAATATTCGACAATACGCTGGGGGGCTTCCTGAGGCCCCATCCAGAGCCCCGAAGCTTCTCAGGCAAGTGGGGAGAGAGGGCTGAACAGGCAGCCTCTGACCTAGTATTCCCCTGACTGCTGTGGTGGAAGATGGTCTCCCCTAGCTCTTGTCTAGCCAGGTCCACGGTCGAGGCTCCTACTTGAAGCTGAGTGACCCCAGAGCGGAGATGCCACCATTTTGGCTGTTTATGGTAAAGTCCTTCTCGTTTACACCAACTTCATTCCTGGGATGAGATCCCCCGTGTGTGGCCTGGTTGCAGTCGTTAAAGGCAGAGGAGCACCAAGGAGTCTTCTCTGACCTGCTACACCCCACCCACAAAGGCGAGCAAAGACAGCTCGGTCTTCCCCGTGAGCCACAGGGTCGCTGTCCTGAATGGGACTCAGAGATCCGGGAACGGACCTAGCAAAGATTCCAGAGATGCCGGGGGAGGGGGGGAATGGGCAGTTGATATGGCGGAGAGGTGGCTTGAAATCCAATTTGTTACAGGCCCGGTCGCTTCAGGAGCGCGTTGGCCACGGGTCCTTTGGGTCCTTCTCGACATCAGGCTGCTTCGAGCTCCAAGCCAGTTTGCGCTCTTCTGGGACGGGGGCCACCACCTCCCCGGGCGGGATCCTCAGAGCTGACTTAGTAGCCCAGCAGTTCCTCTCTGGCCCTGCCAGCACTCCCAGCCCCAATGCAGCCTCTGGCCCGTACAGCATCCCAAACAGCAGCTGCAAGCAGAGCCGCCCAGGAAGCCTAACAGAGCAAGAGCAGCCGCAGATGGCGCAGCCCGTTTGCCCCAGTACCCTGCCCTCGAACGTACCCTTCACCAGCAAATGTGTCCCGGTGCTGGAATCAGGAATTCACAGAATTTCCATTCTCCCCACAGGCCGGGCTGGCGGGATGGGAAACATCAAGACCTTGGGGGATACGTACCAGTTTGTGGTGGATGTCAGTGACTTCTCCCCCGAAGATATTATTATTACCACATCAAAAAACCAGATTGAAGTGCGTGCTGAGAAGGTGAGTGGCTGCTGCTGAGCTGCGCCCAGTCTTTGAGAGAACCAGAGCCGCTTTTAGGGCAGAGCTGAGCTGTCTGGCGGGGGCTGAGGGGTGGGGTAGCCCCAAGATGCCTGGCTGAGAAAAGCCGAGGCAGCTGCTCCTTGGACCCATAGCTGTGGGGAGTTGCTTTCCCTGAACTTCAGGGTCTCTGCCTGTCACATGAGCATCACAGTGTCGTCCCGCTGCAGAAATTAACAAGAAAAGGGAGTTACAAAATGGAACTTTTTTTGTCGTTTGCCCGTAAACGGAAAAAGATTCACGTGCCGGACACCCAACAAGCAAACTTTTTTTTCCTCAGAAGCTAAATAATGCCGAGACAGCTTATAAGGTATTATGTATTGGTCCTCAGAAAGTTGGGAATTACAATTATATCGCAAACAGCAGCCGCATATATAACGCAAAGTTTCGAATTCACGCTAGAAACAGGCTACTGACTAACAAACAAACAAACTCCTTGGTTTCCCATTTGCCAGGGGTGCCACGTGAGAAACCAGCAGTTGCCTTGGTCTGCAAGGCTCGCTGATATCCTCTGAGAAGTGCCCCCCGTCCCACCAAAGACACCGTGGATGTGCCGCCTTGGGATTTAACAGAGCAAAACCCTCTGTAGGCAAGGGACTCTGGCAGCCGTGATCACGGCTGTCTCAAGAAACGCGGCCAAAGGGACCTGCAGGAAAGGAGGCTCCCTGCCTCCTCCCAGGTGCCCCTCAGACTATGCTGGGTACGCACACGGTGGTGGGAACACCGTGTCCCGGATACCCCAGGTTGACCCGGGAGGCCTTTCTCCTGATACGTGCAGCCCCTCTGGAGGCCAGTCTGGCAAAAGAAGGGGCCTTCGTGGGCCAAGCCACCTCTGCCACAGTTTCGACAGGGTCGCCAGATCCCACTTTGTGGAGATTCAGGGACAGGCTGCACCTTATTTTACCAGCCAGGCCACTGAGGCTTGGGAAGAGCCATTTCCATCAACTTTCACGATTCGACCTCTTGTGGCCCTAACTGCTCTCTTTGTCCTCCTCCCACGGACAGCTAGCAGCCGACGGGACCATCATCAACACGTTCACCCACAAGTGCCAGCTCCCCGAAGACGTGGACCCCACATCGGTCACCTCCACCCTGGGGGCCGACGGCTCCCTGACCATCAAGGCAAGGAGAGGCCCGGCCAAACAGCCCGAGCAAGTGCAGCAGACGTTCCGGACTGAAATTAAGATCTGAGCTCCGGGAGCAGTTCGGGCAAGCGGGCAGGGAGTCAGGCTGGTGTGGGTGGGGGCGGAAAGCAGATCTGCCCTTGGTGTTCTCCTCCGTCAACAAGAGATGTTTTGTTTGCTGTCTGTGGTTGAAGGTTAAAGGGATGCGGGCGGCGAAGGGCCTGAGCGGGCCAGAGCTGCCCCTCCCCTTCGAAAACAGAAAGAAGGCCGCTGCTTTCTGCCAGCAGGAACACCAAAGCCGGAGCTGCGTTTTCCGCTCTGTAGCCACCGTCTTAATGTTTTTGAGTGCTGAAGGGACATACTGCTGGAAAAACAAAAAAAGAGAGGACGGTGATATGAAATTTATGCGGCAAGGGGTCAATCCCACAGCGGAGCTTCCTTCTGGGGAACGTATTTGGGATTACTGTTTACTGATTGCTTCAAGTTAAAATGTTACACGTTAATGTGCCGTGCCGCGTTCGGCATCTTCCCTTCCCCGCTGCCTTTGCGCCCCCCTCCAAATCCAGCTACATCCACAAATGAAAATGTTGAGGAGAAAGAATGATGCATAAACGTTTAAACTTTAATCATACAAAGAGACGTCCTTGCGAGTCGCGCACCGCTTTGGCCCTGTGAATGCCCGTGTCCCGGGGAGGAGGTTCGCGAAAGAACAGGGAGCCAGCCTTTGTCCTTGTGCTGAATCCAGCACACACACACACACGCACGCACAGACACACAAACGCGCGCAGCCTTCCGAGGGCCAAGGGCTCGGGAAAGAGACAACAGGGAAGAAGTGAGTCATGCTCTGGAAATAGACCGCGCCGACAAAGGACAGACGGCCCGAGGAAGACTCGCCAAGCGGGGCAGGGGCGGCCCAGGCCTCTGGGGCAGGAGGAGGCTCCTCTTCGGGGCCGGGCCGGGC